GGGTGAAGAAAACTCTAGTCAGCTCCTATGCATCATCAATGCCCACCCTAAACGCCACCCCGGTCAGAGGTTATACGTATACCCCACATTCCAATCAGAGGTGGCTAGACTGTCTATGGTCAGGGACTCCTCTGTGCGTCCTTAGAATAAAGACTATATTTTTTATTTATATTCTTTTATGGTGCCAAAAACTCTTTTAGGGTGGTCCTTAAGGTTTTGGGAATCGCCACTCTATCTTTTTTACAGACAAGTTTTTAAGAATATCTAATTTAACATCTACTTCTGGGAGTTTGTAACACTTAGCTTACAAGGTTTCCTTGCTTTTCTGCTTCAAGGGTCAAAAGAAAAATAAGCCTAACCACTTGCCCATTAATATCTCTGGCAATACTTGAACCCATACCTGCCTTTGTAGTCTAGCCCACCTTGTTACCTTAAAATTGGACCCACACAGAAAACAAGGCTGAGATATGAAGAAAGACTGCATCCTTTGGAGACTACTTCGTGCAGATGCCTGGAGGGATCTTCCATTTTCACTAATCAAGACTGTTTTTGTTTTGAACTTCCATTTCTCCCATGACCCACATAATCTTAATTGAGACCATGCCAATCCTCACTTCTTCCCATCAACTGGCTGATGACAGTTTTCTCCTCTGTTCTGAAGATGAGACAGCTTGTCAGGCAGCTGTTTCCATCTCTGATCAGAGAGCTCAGTTTCAGCTCTCAGCTTCTATTAGCTTCATCTCTAATCCCACCTGGATAGTAAAACATCTTCCCTAGCCAGGGAAGTCTATTTCTAGATTTAGTACCTCATAAGCCATTAGTTTCAGTTGTACTTACCACATTGGTTTTGGCTTAACTCTTCATTTCTGGAATCTAGAAATGTCTTTCTTGTTTTCATAGCTTGTTAAGATTTGTTCCTATTGAATGCAATTTTTTTTATATATTGGACTCTATTGGTATAATGAGAACTATACCAAGCAAACTTATTATATATGAGCCAGGAATTCAATTATACTATATAGTCTGTGTCATTGTCCCTCTACTGCACAACAACAAACACATTTTATTTTTAAAAATTGCTAAAAATATAAAAATAAACATAAAAATTTCTTTCTGGGGCTGGAGATTTAGCTCAGCGACATAAGAGCCTGCCTTGCAAGCGCGCAAGTGAATTCAATCCCTAGTACCAATAAAAAATAAAAATTAAAAAATAAAGTAAATAAAAAAATTTCTTTCTGGCATCTCTGCCTTCCAGCTTCAGGCTGGATATCATGTTGTCTAGACTTCTTTTAGAGCTCTTATTTTGGGCCCCTGCTAAATGTCCTATATGTGTAGCCAGGGGAGCAGTCAGCATAGTGTCACTGCCTTGCCACTCTCCTGACAGCCAGGCCTCTTTCATGTGCTGCTCTTCCCTTGGCTGCATGTAAAGACAGGCTGCTGGTCCCTTTGCCGTACAGGTCATATTGGTCATTTCCAGAGACTGTTTCTGAACTTTTGCCTATCTTCCCCCTTTCTTCTTTTTCTCGCTCTCCATGATGGGCATGAGAAAATGCTGAGGTCTTGCAGGTTTCTGGGTAATCCTGGGGAAAGGCAGCACAGGCTTCTGCCCATTGGGTTTCCATGGTCCCCCTTCACTGGCTCAGCCAAAGGAGACACAAACAAGATACCCTCTTTGAAGATCCACAGGACCTAGCCCTCTTCTTCCCTTCTTCTTCTAATCCAATCTTCCAAATTTGGGGAAACTTCCTTTAGTATCTACAGCAAGAGAAACAAACCCTTAGAGCATATATTCTAAATCCATTGCCTGTGCCAGCTCCTTAGCTTTTGAAGCCTGAAGGCTAAGAATGGCCTCTTTTGTTCTCTGTGTTCTGCTGTGTCATCCCTTCCTTGAAGCAGGAAGATGGAATGCCCCAGCTGCCTGGGCTGGGGCAAGGTCACAGGGAACAGGGAACAATGGGGGAGAACCTGCTGGCATCTGAAAATCATATTAAATCACAAATGCTTATGCTGTTTACCATCCCCAGCTAGAATTCCATCACAGTTTTGGGGAGACACTCTATTATTTTCTAGCATTTTGTAATTAGCTGATGGATCTTTTTAGTATGTTAACCAAAAATTAGCTTATTAAATAAACTGGCACATGACCTCTGAGATAATAATGTTTTTCTTATTCTTAAGTTACTTAAATTCAAATTAACTATTTATTCAAGTCAACACATTCATTCATTATTTATTAAGTACCTGGTAATCACCACTATTAAGCCTTTTATTAGTGGAAAATCCAAGACAAATCAAACACTCCTTTCTCTCAAGATGCTCTTTTTGTGGTGGGACCATAAATACTTACCCAGTAATTATGAAGAATGTAATGAGAACTGGATAGCAGATTGTATAGAAAAGGCAGCAAAGAAGGGACCAGTAACTCCAGATCCAAAGTATGAAATATATTTTCAGAAGTGATGATCCTTGACTTGGGTCATCAACATGCAAATAGGTGGATGAACAGGTGTTTAGCGAAAGGTGGAGGGATTCAAGTTGTGGAGTCAAAGAGAAGGCCATCAGGGAAAAGAAATCAGGAAGTCTCATAAAGACAGATGCAATGTAGCAGAGGTTGTCTGAATGAGACAGAAGGGGAGGGAAGAGGCAAATACAACTGGAAAGAACTGAACTTCGTGTTTAGCGCTATTTCACAGGGAAGAAAAGGGAGGAATGTGGCTGTGGGGTTACAGAATGGAGAGAAAGCAGGGTACAGATTTTGACAGAGTGTCTTTGAGATCAAAACCTTATGTTTCTTGTGTGGAATAAACTTTTTAATTAGTATTGACACTACTAATTTAGATTAGGATTTTAGAGGAACACTTTAAAAATATGTATGTGAAGTTTACTTTGGGATACCACAGGTGAGATTCCTACAAGGCTATTCAGGAGAGATTTTCCATCAAGCTGTTGGAAATGCTTTCCATGAGTATATTCATTCTTTGGCCCTTTTTCTGGGGATAGGTTTGGCTGAGAGTGTAAGCACTGGGGGCCAGAGGTGGAATTATTATCTCATCATTCACCAAACTTTCTAGTTTAGTTTAACTTTGTCCTATTTCTAAATTCCTGCCTTCAGTACACAATTGAGTACTTTTATGTGTGTATAAGTCTGTAAGTTCTGCAAGTGAAATAATGGCAGGAAGCTAAGAGCTTACCATCAGGTTCATCTATGTACTAAGTCAAATGTATAAATGACTAGAAAACAACTGATACTAAATATGTACTAGAGTATAATAATTTTATTTGACAGGGCAGGATAACACATTAATAACAAGGTAGCAAACAAGCTGGAATCTCAGTGGCTTAGCAGAGCAAAAGTTTACTTCTTATGCTTTCTTTTGCATGACAGCTGCCTCAAGCATGGTGGCTCAGCATTCTGGGCTGGGCTGATCCCAAGTCACCTCCATAAGGACGTTTTCATCATGAACACTGCAGAGCAAGAGTGGGTTGTCAACTACTGTTCTGGCAATTAAATACTTCTATTCCAGATGTGATCCAAGTCAGTTTTGTTCACATCTCACTGCCCAAACAAGTCATCAGACCATGACTAACTTCACGGAGGCAGAAAGCTATCTCCCCATGCAGCCAGGATTAGATACTGGTAAACCGTGATAATGCTCACTAACACATAGTAAGATACGTGTTACAAAGAAAAGGCTGAGCCATTCCAGAGCAGGAAGCATCCTTAGTGTGTCATAAATAAAAGACAATTCTGTTTTTTTTTTTTTTTTTTTTTTTGGCGAGTTTGTTCATTGTGGCTTCTCTTTATTGTGCCAATGGGAAATCCTTGTTTAGGGCTCTAAATTGAATCCTGGCTCCCTGGCTGGCTGATTTGCTGGACTCCACAAGATTTCTGTGCTTTTCTTTTTTCTTTCTTTCTTTTTTACTTTGTTTTGTTCTTTTTCTTCTCTTTCATAAATCTTGGCTATGCAGCCTGGATAAATGAGATCTATGTATAAATTTCTGATAAGGTCTTAGAAAAACATATTCTCTGTTCTAAGAACTGTTTATTGCTTCTTTTGAGGGTGCCCTCAAAAATTCAGCATAGGAATAATGCAGTTGATCATACTGATCTTAGATAAGTAAGAGGAAAAAAATGGTCCTAGGGCTTTAGATAAAGTGAGAATACTATTAAACTACAACACAGTGAACAACAAGAGTTTCCATTCTTTACAAGTGCTTGGGATAAAGTTTAGTGCTTCTCCTTTTTGTTTTGTGATCATCTTTCATTTAATTGTTATCTACCACCTGGAGTAAAAAGAGAATGAGTGTAATTTGCAAAAATGAGGGAAGGTATAGTCCTATACTATTGTTTTAAAGTTAAAATGGTCTAATTATCCCTCAAATGTTTGAGGTTTTTTCTGGGAAGAACATTCATTTCCACGTTTAAAAATGCAAGGAATTAGGGGCTGGGGATTTAGCTCAGCGGCATAAGCGCCTGGCTTGCAAGCAGGCAGTCGTGAGTTCAATCCCTGGTACCGATAAAAACACGAGGAAAAAAAAAAAAAAAAAAAAAGGAATCTGTACCAGTAAAGTTTCTATTTTGAAAAGTTGGCGGCATTAAGAACTAGGAAGATTCACGTTGTCGAAAATGTTAAAATTTAAAGAGAAAATTAGTATTATTTTAATACTTTATGATCATCACCTGTGTTTACTGAGATACACAAAGTAATATGCAGGCTTTAGAGGGAATTCAAACTAAGCAAATATGATATTAAAAAAAAAATCCAAGCGTCCCAGTGCGAGCGGTCAGCTCTCCATGGGGCAGCAGAGCCGCCCAGGAGAGAGAAGACCGAGAGAGGCCAAGCTGGTTGGGGCAGTGCCTGTGCCAGGTCAGGACTGCTGCCCCTTGGGGCGAGACGGAGGGGCTGGGCAGGAAGAAGAGGCGGAGAAGCGGATTCACAGATAATCTTGAGCCAGCGAAGCTCTTCGCTCGCCGGACGGGAGGCGGGGTGGCAGCCGGGTTGAGGCAGCAGCTTGGAAGGAAGGAAGGAAGGAGCGAGGGAGGGACGGGAACAGTAGGAGGAGCAGCAGCGAGCTGGGCTGCAGCGGCGGCGGGAGGAGTGGTCCCAGAGAGGCCACGTTTTGTTTCTGTTATTTTTCACCGGCATAGTTCTCCCAGGCTCTTCCCTGGGCCCGGGCGCGCCGCAGCCCGGCGGCCCCGACCTCCAGGTGACAGCCGGTCACCCTGCTAGGAGTCAGCTCCGCCCCGAGTGCCCCTCCCGCCACAGCCCCAGTCCCCGCCCAGCCTCGGTGTCTCCCCGAGGCGAGGCGCGGCCGCAGCGGGCTGCAGCGCTCTGGCGGGCGGCGGCGGCGGCGGCGGCGGCGGCGGCGGGGACCCTCGGCCGGTGCTCGGTCCCGGCGGGCCCGGAAGGGGAAGGGGTAGCGCGGCCGAGGCGCGAGCGCGAGAGCGGAGAATGCCCGGGTAGCCTTCCTTCGCGCCCGCTGCTGGGCACTCGCCCCGCCGCCTGCAGCCCGAGCCTCTGACCCGCCCGGGGCAGCGCTGCCCGGGCAGGGCCGCTGACGCGCGGGGTCTCGGCGCGCCGAGGCCAGTGCGGAACCGGAGCAGTAGTTGGCACAGTTTCGGCGGCGCCTGCAGAGGGTGCATCGGGGGCGAGGCGCGCCTGGCGGGCCACCACGGTGCCCTGGCGAGGCAGGCTATGGAGCCGCCCAGCTGCATTCAGGATGAGCCCTTCCTGCACCCCCTGGAGCCCGAGTCGGGCGCCCCAGCGCACGCTGGGCTCGGGAAGCCGGGCGACAAGAGGTTCCGGCTGTGTTACGTGGGAGGGTCCTGCCTGGACCGCAGGACCACGCTGCCCATGCTGCCCTGGCTCATGGCCGAGATCCGCAGGCGCAGCCAGAAGCCTGAGGCGGGCGGCTGCGGGGCGCCGGCAGCGCGCGAGGTCCTCCTGGTGCTCAGCGCGCCCTTTCTGCGCTGCGTCCCCGCGCCAGGGTCCGGGGGCACGGGAGGCGCTGGCCCCGCGGCCACGCAGCCCAACCCGGCCGTCTTCATCTTCGAGCACAAGGCTCAACACATCTCGCGCTTCATCCACAACAGCCAGGACCTCACCTACTTTGCCTACCTGATCAAAGCGCAGCCCGACGATCCCGAGTCGCAGATGGCCTGCCACGTTTTCCGCGCCACAGACCCAAACCAGGCAAGTCCGGGGCGCCGGGGGGCGGGCCCGGCTCTTGCGCTGCGAGAGCTGGGAGGAAGGGCCGAGACCCCGCGCCGGGGACCTGCTGGGCTGGGCTGCGGGCGCGCGCTCCACGTGGCGCGCTCCGGTGCCGCGCTAGCCGGGTTCCCCGGACGCAGGCGTGGGAGAGGAGGGTTTTGGCGGCCAGGAGAGCGGCGGGAGCAGGCTGCCTGCAGACGCAGGGCCAGCGGAGAGGGAGGCGGGCCGGGGCTGGGGAGGAGGCGGCGCGCCCTGGGGAGACCGCGAGAAGCGCGCGTCCGGGGGCATCGCGGTGCCTGGGTCGGGACTAGAGTGGTCTTGCTGGGAATGCAGGGAAGGGTGGGTTCCCTGCGGCCTCTGCAGTTCGCACGTAGAGTCCTGCACCTTTACCCGTTTGACCGGGGGCGTCTTCGTCACCGGAGCACCTGCGGACACCTGGCCCGGGAGCGATTTCTGAGCGGGCCTTAGAGGAGTTACCAGGCATTAACAGATGGTCGGAAAGTACAGTTCTGCGTTTGGGTGTAGAGTGGGAAGGAAACCTTCTTGTTTGCAGTTGTTTACACGCAAATTGGAGATGAACTCAACACATAGTGTTTGGGTGACTTAAAAATCAGTGTAGAAGAGATTGCAAATGTCATTTAAAAGTTTTTTTTTCTTTTCTTTCCATTTTTATTCTCCGTATTTAGTCAGAGTTTACTAAATCTAAGTGTTCTGTTACTAAACGGAACTTTTACTTCCTTATAAACAGGCAGAGCCTTTAGAAGCAAGAGGAAAAACTACCACAGTGATTGTGCCTTTGAAAACAGGTTTTTTTTTTTTTTAGGTTTTAAATATTTAAATAGTTTTTAAGCAATATCAAAGTACGTAAAAATGCTGCTTTAAAAATGGTTATTCGGTGTTTGCAAAGTACCTTAGGTTCTTCGGAAAAATATTGTTAGTGTTATCTAAATATAAATAAAGGCTCAGGTTGTACCACGTGACATGGTGGAAGTTCTTTTGGTAGCTGGGAAATTAATAGTGAGATAAAAACGTGCTATAAAAAGGTTTTAACTTTTTCTTATTTTATAATTCTAGTGTCTATAACTGAGATACTTTCTGTTTGACCAGTGGTTTTTCACAAAAAGCCTGTAATGGAATTGAAGAAAATTCTTTATCTTACATTTCACCAGTTACTTTGTAAAATAAATGTTATTAATCAAAAGTATCTACATGAAGGGAGCAGTTTTGATTTGTGATCAAAAATTTTGGCAAATCTTGGGGCTGGGGATTTAGCTCAGCGGCATAAGCACCTGCTTTGCAAGCAGGCAGTCGTGAGTTCAATCCCCGGTACCAATAAAAAGGAAAAAGACAAAAAAAAAAAAAATTAAAAAAAAACTTTGGCAAATCTTTTACTACAAATTAGTTTAAAATCATAACCATGATTCAATCTTTTCATTTTATGCTTCTTTGCCTGAAACTTCTTAGCTTTCATGTATTAAGGATTTGGAAAGTTCCTGAAAGTTAGCACTGACTTTATTACATTAAAATATTCTAGGTCTGGCTGTAAAGAGGAATAAATTGCATTTCTCCAGGATTTTCATTATTTCTTCAGATGTGATAGACATATTTTTTTTTGGCTAATTTTATTGCTGGTCATGGCATTCTGTGTTCTCAGTAGTGGTTGTTATGTCCCTCCGGTCATTTCATGACAGTTGATGACAAGCGCCTTTAAAAATACCTCAACTGGGCATTTAAGTGTTAGAGCTGAATGTGATTCTACCTCACAAACAACACGTTTAGTCCAGTGGGAGCAGTGGAAGCCATATATATGGCTTTTGATAGAAGAAAATAAAAACCCAAGTTTCCTGCTTATTGTCAATTCTCTGATAAGTTCTTGATTCCTATTTGCCCTGAATGAGAATCTCTGGTAGGTGATGGTTAAAGTGAAGGACCAAATGTGGTCTAAGGGATTATCTCCAGCCGGTAATTGGAGGTTACAAACTCAAATGCCCAGGAAGAGGGTTGGAGGGCTGTGGAGTACTGGATAGTGGGTGTCTGTTCTGGAGCATCTTTTCAGCTCTAGCTGGAAATTATAGGAGTGAATGCAAGTTCAGGATTGCAGGAACTTCTGGTTTCCCAAGAGAAAGTGGAAATCTGAATTTTTATAACTTCGCATTCAAACATTGACTTAAACATTTAAGAATCTTCTCTGGGCCAAAGACTCTTCAACTGAGCAACATCTCTAGCCCTTTTTTTATTTTTTATTTCAAGACAGAGTCTCTTGAGTTCTCAGGATGGCATCCAAATTTCTGTTCTCCTGCCCCAACTTCCTATGTAGCTGGGCTCATAGGAAGACGACTATGACTTCTGGCTGGCACCACTGTTTTTCAAGAATTTACAAACACCACACGTGGTGATTCCACGGACTGACACGTGGGAAGGTTGGATTGAACACATTTTTTTGGTTGTTGTCTTCCATGAGTAGGCTTCATACAGTATAGGCTCTGGGGACACTTGAAATCAGAAGGAAGAAGACCTGCTGTTTGCTTTTTCCTGAGTTCTTCATTTGAAGCGCAGCTGTATTTGGTTGGACTTAAAATCATTGTTCAGGGAATCTCTTGGTTTTTGCATTCATTGAACAAAGCATGGAAGGTGGCCTGGTGGGAGCCTGCAGACTTCTCCCAGTTAACATGGCTTCTGCTTTGTCTCTCATCTCTGTTCCTTTTCTGCAGTAGGCCTGTCTGTCGGATGACCCTGAAATTTATCAGTCTTTTGACATTTTTTATTGTGAAAGAGGCCCTCCTAATTTTTTTTTTCTTTGGTACTGGGGATTGAACTCATGACCTTGTGCTAAATCCCTAGCCCCCCACTAGTAATTATATGAGCATTAATAAGTTATAAATTTGGACTATTCAGGACAAACTAGTAGGTAAGTTTCATTATAGCTAAATCACAAAGTTTATAGTGGCACAAGGTGACATGTGCTTGTTATCCCAGCTATTCCAGAGGTTGATATAGAAGGATGATTGAGTTCTAGGCTAGCCAGGGAACATACTGAGACCCCATTAGAAAACAGCGACAACAACAACACCACAGTTTCCTTCATGCTGAGCCACTGAGTTGGAGAATTGTGATTTCTACTCGACAATGATGTTTTACAGAATATCTATTCACATGTCTTTTTTTAAAAAAAGAGAATGAAACAAAATGCAAACAATATTAGATTTCAAAAACAAAATGGTAGGAAATCAGTAGTTATTATATTGTACATTGTTATCTTCTAAATAGTTGCTCAGACTACCAGATATAGGCATGCAAAATTAATCAAACAATATAAACACTAACATTTTTTTGCTTCAGTTGCTATCATTTCAGAAATTTCAGGTGTGCGACTGTTCAATTTGTTTTGTGTCTGTGTATCCCGGACTTGTTCTAGGTGGTCTGGAAGTCTGAGATTGCACCTTGCTCCTTTATCTTGACATTTTCCTGTTTCTCAGGATCAGCTAGTTGCTGAGTCCCGGATGCTTCCTGCACTGGCTACCTGTCCTCAGTGCAAGGGATTGAGCTAGGCACCTGGGTTTCTCGATCTGAGATTCCCAGACTCCCCTGATGGTGACAGGCGGAGGATAGGCCTGTGGTGGTGGGCTCTCGGGGTGGGGGTGGGGAAGGAGGTGAGAGCACCTGGTCCTGATGGCAGTGGAGCCTCCTCAAATATCTTTTTTTTTTCTGAGGGTAGATCTCCTTGTGATCACAGAACTGGGATGTAACTCATTGGACGTGTCAACTAAGAATGTCACTCACATATTACTCTAAGATTCTAATGGTGTTTATGTTATACTGTGGTTTGTCTGAGTAACTCTTTAAAAGCATTTCTTTAAGAATGAACAGTTGTAGTCTTGCTGGGTGATGGTACTGCTCTACATTTCCTAGAACTTTGCATTTATCTTCATAGTTCCTGTGTAATGTACCAATATTTCTCCCATCTTACATAGGAGAAAATTGAGATTTAGAAAGGTCAAATTGTTTCCCCAAGATCACAAGACTTGTTATGAATAGAAGCAGATCGCTATCTAGGCACTTTCTATAAAGCCAGTTTTCTTATCTGCTATGGTAGAATGCAGTAGTCAAAATTCAATTTTTTAGTTGTCAGTGTTATAAACTTTTCTACTGTCACTTTTTCCTACTCATATTAAACATCTCCACAATTAATTATGCTTACTAAATTTGTAAAATAATTAATGCTGACTGTGTGCTTAGATGTAGTTCTGCCTGTATGTACTCTCTCCACTTCCACGCTGGGATTGAACCCAGAGCATTGAGCTGACTCTGTGGAAGCTACACCCTTTCCCCAGTACATACTTTTTAAAAAATTTGAAAATTTTTCTTTTGTGAGAAATCATGGTTTTTAATATGCAGTGGAGTACTGCCTTCCAATGAAGAAGGATAAAGTCGAGACTTTTGGGGTAAATGGATGCACCTTGAGAACATAGAAAAAAGAAATAAGTTGGACACACATGTATAAATATATTGTTTGTCTTGTATGAGAAACCCAAAGAGTAAATAAGGAACAAATGGAGGACAGATATTGGGAAGTAGGAAGAAAATGTTCCAACTTGAAGAGGAACAAGGAACGGTGACAGAGGAAGGGAAGGGGGCTAAAAAAAAGACTCGAAGAATTGAAGAAAGAAATGTTGGGGGAGGGGAGGGGAATGGAAAAAAATGAAAAACTAAGACATATTATATACAGGCACAAATTCCTTGTAATGAATGTGATGATTATGTATGTTAAAAATATACCAGTAGATGTTAATAAAAATTCAAAACTCATAAAAATTGGAAAATACATTTTTCCTTTAGGAGATGGGGTTTCTCTAAGGCTCATCAGGAGCTGCCTTGCCTTTCAGGTAGCTGGGACTACAGGTTGGCTGTAATTTTTTTTAAAAGTAGAAAGTCTTTGTGATGTTAAGTTGGTAAAGTAGAACACTGGTGTTTCTTTTATTTAG